CCCCAAAACCCCAAAACCCCAAAACCCCAAAACCCCATAGTTCTCAATATAATAAAGTGTGTCGTACATAGCAATGTGGATCTTTAGATGGATTTTATACCTAGCAGTGGCTATAACTGCTATATGTCTAGCTTTACTAGAAATTACCCATCCCAAATACAACGGAAAGGTCAAAATATCCTCAAAATACGGAAATGTGACTGTCTATAGAACTGACGATGGTATTCCTCATATTTATGGAGATAATAAAGAGGCAGCTTACTTCGGATTAGGCTACATTCAAGCACAAGATAGATTATGGAGTTTCCAAAAGTTCAGACTCCTTGCTAAAGCACAGCTCTCTGAGTATTTTGGTGATGAAGGATTTCCAATAGATTACTTCTTCAAGCAAATGAATCTTGATTATCTCGCCCAAGTCGCTGTTCGGAATATTTCTCAAGAGTTGAAAGAAGATATTAGTCTAGTAGCTGAAGGTATCAATGAGTACATAAAAACGCAGCCTCTTCCTATTGAATTCTGGATCTTAGGAGTAGATTGAGCTCCATTTACCCTCACTGACATTCTGGAGATAGAAAAACTTATGGATTTTGCAGTTTCTTACAACCACCAGATGGAGCTTTCAAGAGATTTTGTTTTTAAATCTACCAATTCCTCTACAGTTGCCAATAAATACATGCCTTTTGAGGATAAATATTTCAGAAATAATCAGTACCCAACATTTGATGACGAACAGATCAAGAAATTAGGCCTTTTCGAGAAGGACGGCCTTAAGAACAGAGTCAAGAACTTCAAGCCTAGACACACCAACTACAAAATTTCTAAGAAAGATATTTATGAAGAAGTTAAGGAAACCTTGGGAATGGTTCATTTTGATGGTAGTAATGCATGGGCGGTCCATGGGAATTATACGGAGAGTGGAAAACCTATCTTGTCCACTGATCCACACCTTGCTTCTTCTCTCCCTTGAGCCTGGTTCATGGGTGAACTTTCTTATGAAAACGTTACAAGGGTTGGAGCTTTTTCATTTGGACAGCCATGGCTCATGTTCGGTCGAACTGATCATATCTCCACTGCAATCACGGCGATTCACAGTGATGTAATAGATCTCTATGAAGAAAAAGTAACTGGAGATGGGTTCTACGAGTTTGACGGTGAATTAATCCCTATTAAGCAACAGAAGGATATCATCAAAGTTAGGGATCCTTTCGCTCCTTCAGGCTACAGAATTGAGGAAATCATCCTAAATTCCACTCACCATGGACCTCTGATAGATGACCCTCATGATGAAATTTACAAAATTTTGAAGAGACTTCCATTTGGAGCATTTAAGAAAAATAATTTAGCTATTTCTTGGTCTGGATTCCAAGGTAAATCAACCTATTTCGGGAATAATAGGTGCCTAAATCTTGCTAAAGACGTTCCAGAAGGAATAGAGTGTTTCAGAGAACTTGGCACATCGAATTTAAATATCTTCATGGCTGATAGAAAAGGCAATATTGGAATGATCCCTTCAGTCAGTTATCCAATTAGGAAGCATCCTTACGCAGGAGCCTATGTTCAGGATGGTAGCAAGAGCGAAAATGACTGGCAAGGATTCGTACCTTTTGATGAGCTTCCAAAAGCAATTAACCCAAAGAGAGGCTATATAGCTAATTCTAACAGTATGCTTACTACTACGAATGTGAAGTACGGAGTTGGAGCAACCATGCCTTCACCTCCAAGAGTTGTGAGAGAAGCACAGTTGATAGAGGCTCAGATCAAATCAGGAAAGAAGTTTACAGCCAAAGATATGCTCAAGATCCAGTTGGATACTGTTGATCTAAACGCAAGGTAAATTTACCATTAAAAATTCTTATCCCCTAATAGAGAAATGCTGGTGATGCTAAAAGAGGTGATTGATGTCAGCTGGCCCAGAATCATGGAGCAATTCAATAACAGAGAATTGAAGATCATTCTTAGCAAATTCAGAAAACATTTAAATGATTGGGATGGAGACTACCACGTTAACAGTACTCAGGCTTCTTTGTTCGCTCTTTGGGAAATGGAATACCATGTCAGTTTATTACAGGATCAAATTCCTCATAGCGTCATTAGAGAAACAATGATAAATATTCCAGATAGCGATTTATACTTAATGGAAATACTCGAGCATCTGATGAACGATCCTACTTATTATAGTGAGTATTGCCAGTCTAGCATCACCATCTACGAAAAGACTTATGAAATCAAAAGTGACAACTGCTTAATGAGTCTTGCTTACAACGCAGTCAGAGCCTGGAAGATTTTAGAGAAAACAGTATCTAAAGACCCTAACGATTGGAAGTGGGGATCTCTTCATAGACACTACTATGATCATTTCCCTTTCTCTATAATTCCAGGGTTCAAGCAGATTTTCCATAGAGAGGTTGAAGCAGGAGGATCTAGAAGAACAGTCTCGTTTGCTTGCTATGATTATTACCTGAACAACATGGAAGATGAGGTGTTCTTCAAATCAATTTTCTCTGCCAACTTCAGAGGAGTTATTGACATGGCATCTTACGATGATCCTGAGAAGTATCCTCTCTACATGTCCATAGACACAGGGGCATCCCAGCATGCATTCTCCAAGCACTATTTTGACATGAACAAGATCCATTATTCCAAGGAAGGAAGAATCATGGAGATCGGCAAAGATGTTATTGCGAAGAAAGCCACGTATAAATTTGAAATTGAAGTTTAGTTATATCCAAATTAGATCATACCTCTTCAATAACTTCCCTTGAAATTGGGGTTTTGGGGTTTTGGGGTTTTGGGG